TAAATGGTTTAAATGGTTTTGGACGGAATAGAAGAAGCTTTCGCTTAACAGGCTTCCGTGTCTAGTAGCAGGGGATCACCAAATCCTCCAGGTAGGAACCTAGGTATCTTAACAATAAAAGAGGAAAAGAAATTGGTAAATCATAGTATGATACTGTCCTTGGTCCTTAAGAATAGGTCAAGTTCCCTCTTGAAGGACTCCTGAAAAGTCGCTTGGACTAGCTCGGCCGGCAGCGAATTCCAGATTTGACAACACTTAAGGAGTAGAAGTTGTGTCTACATCCCGTCTTGCTATATTGAGTTTCCAGTTTCTGGGTGTTACCCTTAGGATATTATTCGAACTAAGCTTAAGTAGGTGTTTAAGAGGATGTCCAGAAGTGTTAAGAATACTATAAGCCATTAATAAATCACCTCTAAGACGCCTATACTCTAATGAGTAAAGGTCTAGTGAATGGAGGCGTTCTTCGTAAGGCTTAGATTTGAGTCCGCGAACTGATTTCGTGGCTCGCCGTTGGATACGCTCCAAAGTGACCTTGTCCTTTTGGAGTGAGAAGGGAGTACTATGTTCCCATACTCTAAATGTGGACGAATAAAACTGTTGAAGATTATATGGAAAGTTCTTCCGTCAAACTGGCCAAAAATGCGCTTCAATGTTACCAGTGCAAGGTTTGCTCGGAAGGCATTTTTGTCACAGTTAGCGTAAGACTTTAAATCATGGGGCACCAGGACTCTTAAATCTTTTTCGACTTGGGATACTATTAGAGAGGAGTTTCCTAAGTTTTTACTGTAGTTTGCGACATGTCGCAGATGAACTACTTTACAATTTGAAGTGTTAAAGGTAAGTCCGTTATCGTCTGCCCAACTTTGAAGTCGAATCAGATACTCCTGAAGTGCCTGTGTATCGTCTTGGTTGCGTATTCCTCTCCAAAGTTTCACGTCGTCGGCAAAAAGTAATAAGTCTGACGTTACCTGTTGAGGAAGATCGTTTATGTAGATCAAGAAGAGGAGAGGCCCGAATACTGAGCCCTGGGGGACCCCACTAGGACATTCCATAGCCTGAGATAAAGTGTAGTTAACCCTAACCTTAAAGTGTCGACTTTCTAGGTATGAAGTAAGCCAATCGATTAGAGGTGGTTTGATACCTAGTCGTTTGAGCTTATTGATAAGACACAAGTGGTTAACTTTATCAAAAGCTTTTGAGAAATCAAGGTAAATGATATCAACCTTTCCCCTGCGATCGAGGATACTTGTCCATCTGTCCGCCGCAGTCAACAGGTTGGTTATACAAGAGTAACCCTTCCTGAAACCATGCTGTTCGGGTGAGAAGAAATTTAAGGACAGTAGATAGTCGTTTAAACCATCGCATATCAGGGACTCCATGGGTTTTGAAGGTAATGACAGAAGAGCCACTGGCCGATAACTTGAAGATTCATTGCGTCGACCCCCTTTGAAAATTGGTGTGATGTGAGTGAACTTTCAATTTTTGGTAGTTTGCCTCGGCTTAGCGAGTGTGAAAACATCACGCTAAGCGGCATTGCCAGGATTGAGGCTGCCTCCCTCAGTAAAGCAGAATGAACCATATTCGGGCCAGGAGAAGTACCTAGTCTTAAGTGCTGCAGTTTCCGGAACACCAAGTCAGCGCTTAGGTCCACTTCGGAAAGTCCTGTGGAATTGCAGATGAAACTGTCGTCAATAAAATTGATGTCAGCCAGCTGAATTGTTTGAGAGTAATGTGTCGCCAGAAAGTTAGCGGCGTCAACATCGTTGTTGGTCGGGCCATTAAGACCTAGCAGTTGAGAAACTTCTGTTTTGGCTTGACGAAGAGAGGCTGCATAACGAAATAGGCTTTTAGGGTTAGAGGCAAATTTGTCCATAAGCTTTGTCTGATAATGAAGCCTTTCTTCTCTCATAGCCTTCGTGCATATGTTCCTGATATGTTTATATTGCCTATACGCTCCGTCGTTATTAGTTCGTTTGTATTCTGCCCAACAGTGCTTTTTGCGGCTTAGCAGGCGAAGGGTACGCTTCTTGATTACTATAGGTGGCTTGCAGCTTTTGGGAACCGTTTGAGGAACTGATTGGTTTGTAGCACATAAGAGCGTGTGCAGCAAGAAGTCCCAATGACCGTCCACATCGAGTTGAGGGTGAACATCCCAAACCACCTGTTGTAGATAATCATGTAGAGCTGGCACATTCAGCCGTTTAAAATTCCAACGTAACTTATTGTTGGGATACCTTAGCTTAGTTTTGGTGACAAAACTGAAGGCTATGACGGCATGATCGCTCTTTCCCAGAGAAGCCAAGATTGAGAGGTTGTCAACTAGGAATTCTTCGTTTGTGAATACACAGTCTAACCGCGATGGTGTCTGACTGTTTCTCCAACGAGTTGCCGACCTCACATTTTCATATAAGCCCAAGTCATCGATGAGGTTGAAGAACCGAGCTTCAATTGTGTTGTCGCCTCCAGTATACGTGTGTTCCGCGAAGTTGACTCTAGGGAGATTAAAGTCCCCCAGAATCAGGATGTGTGTGAAACCGAGACGGGTAGAGCGGGATAGTCCTTCCAGCACACGACTATCGTACTCGATGTCGGCAGTTGGCTTTCTGTAAATAACACCGACTAGACACCTCGAAGTACTAGACAATCTTACAGAGCACTATATGGATTTCTCAAGATTGTTAAACTCGAGGTTATGAACTTGGTGCACCTCCAAGCAAGAGCTTATGTATATGGCTACTCCACCCCCAATTCCTGTTATTCTGTCGTTGCGGAACAAAGTCATCTCAGGTAATGCTAACTCTTGGTCCGAGAACTGAGAAGATATCCAGGTCTCAGATATTCCTATCAGATGGGCTTTATTAGCGTTGCTAAGTTCACCTAATTCATCCAGTTTGTTTGGTAGACTCGAGGCGTACATATATAAGCAGTTTATGCTTTCATTTTGGAACGCGTGAGCTTCATCCTGTTTTTCTGTATGGGCCTTATGTGAATGGACAGGTAGCCCACCTATGTGAGGTTTACCGAGGTGGTAGGCCCTGTCCTTTACACGTTTTTTATCATTTAGACAGTCCACAAGTGGAATGGTCAGCTTCAACTTGCCTTTGTGCTTGGTCCTTGCTTCATATGGCCTATCCGGGTGCATGTGGATTCCAGGTGGCACGAAATGCTTCCAGAACTGTAGCCGCCATGTGAGAAGATGGGAAGGTTATCTTCATTAGACGGGGTCTAAGATCACCGTCCTTATTGGCTAATCTCGTCACATGCTGAGTCAGTATGTGTTTAAGCCTCAAGGACTGTTTGGTGAATTTCCATTCCCTGATGTCAGAATTTGATTGAGTAGGGTCTGTATTTTCCGGTATACCTTGCAAAATTATGTTTCTTCCGCGGAAAATCTTCTCGCGAGATTCTTTAGGGATGTTTCGTATGATATTGCGCTCAGAGAACGGTATGTCGGGCAATATTCTTACGTTACCATCTGATTTCAGCAAGTGACTTGCTAGTAAGACGTCCTCCATGTCGGTAGCATTCTTAAGTGTTACTCGGAGAAGCCTTGGGTGATTTAGATGCTTAGAGTCCTTTCCTCTAGAGAGCCGGGTGACCATCAAAGGCTCTATTCTAGGAAGTTTGAGCTCCTTGTTCAATTCACCCCAGAGCATCCTGTCGTTTTTGTCTTGCAGACTGAGAGGACGGTCAGGATTATCAACGAGGTTCATGATAATGAGAGAATCGACACGAACTGTTGATGATTTACCAGGTTTCACGGTGGGTTTATGTTTAATAACTTGCTGTTTGGAGGTCAGTGTGCGTTTTTGAGGCTTGGGCTCTTTATTGACCAGACGAACAGTCTTGGGAGTAGACTGTGCGACCAAATCACCAGTTAATTTCCGTACAGTAACACTTGTGTTGCTCGGCTTAGGCGGTGATGCCTGGTTCTTTTGGGCTCTCTTAACGTGGGTCGAATCACCTACAGGGTTTTTGGGAACCACTGTTGTGTTCAGGGACCCTGAGCTTGAAGACCCGAGTTTGCTTAGGGAGTCTAATACTTTCGACGTAATGATGGTGCTGAGCCTCGACACGTCATCATTAGTGTTGACTGAAGACCTGTCAGTAGGACAATGATGTTACTCAGCAAGACTAGAGCGTCCGTGCTGCACGTGACACACACCCATTTTTGGTCTGACTTGCTGAGTCTGCTGTAAGCAGTTGATGTCAGATCTATGCATGCTTCGTGGAACCAACCTTTGCAGTGTTCGCACTGCATACCAGTTGCAACAGCAAAACTGCATGAGTTTTTCATGACTTTGTTGAAGCAAACTATGTTATAGATGGTTGCAAAAGCCTAAGACCTTTAAAAAACACTAAAAAGCACACTGAAAACGGACAAAAATGGATAAAACGAGAGATATAAACTGAAATTAGTCTATACGTGAAAAACAAAAAAACAACAACCGAATATTAAGCTGAGGCAAAACCACAGGTAACTATTAAATATGGGGAAACTCAAAAAAATATACCAAACGTATAGCTCAGGATAGATTCTTCAGAACTGAAATGGTACTTTTGTTACGTAAGAACACAGCAAAAGTTTGATAAATGCAAATCACGTTAGTACTAAACTTCCCGTTCGAAATTGGCGCGTGTGAGTGTCTAGATGCAAGCTGAATGTGAAAAAATCCCTCCATTTATACCCACGTTAAGAAAGTTGCTCAAGTAAGTCTTTGGTTGTTTGTGCTTGAATATAAGGTATGAATGGCGTTGCTTTAAAATGATTTTAAGGACAATAAAAAACCATTCACGTTTCTAGCGCTTTATTCATCTTCAAGGTTGTGAGCTGTCATCTTGGTTTCTATTGTTAGTTTGGTTTTTTGTTTTATATAAAGGCTCAGAACGTTAACATATTATTTCTGTCTAAATTTCGTCCCTTAATCTAATTTCCAGGATTTGTTTGGGGTGAATATCAGGCTTTCGTCAAATATTAAACACTAGATTCACATCATAAAATGGCATCGGGTATTGCTAGATCAAAGCTGATGGTAAGGTATATTTATTTATCTACCTTCATTGTTTAAGAATTTCGCTTTCAGGTGCCAATGGAAACCTGTGTCACTCATTTATCGTCCAGAGTGTTCCTCTGCAAAATTTAGTCTTTCTGATTACAAGTCTTTTAAGTTAGATTCCACGCCAGCAAATGAAACTGAATGTAGTCGTGATGATGCACTTAGATACCTCGAGAGTCTTCACCGTATTCGTAGAATGGAAACGGCACTAGGTAACATGTATAAAGAAAAGCTCATTCGCGGTTTCTGTCATCTATACTCGGGTCAGGTTAGTTTTAATTTTAATCGTACCTCAATATTTCCGCTCCTTGGTTTTTGTTATTATTCTTTGAATGGATTTACATACTTCATGGCTTGCTTGGTGAGACACCTTAACATTTCAGATGTGTTCTTAATTCGTTGTACATACAAAATGAAATAAATGTGTCAGTGTTTATCACTTCTTTTCGATGGGGTCTTCGGAAGGCTGTTGTGAATAGCCTTTTTAAATCTTGGTGATTGGGTATGTCCTTCGTAACTTACATATCAATCATTAGTCGTGTTATTGCTGTGATTCTTATCTTGCTTATAGAATATTTTCAAAAAATAAAGAAGTGGTTGTTCATACACATGCCTACTACTATCTCTTTTGATTGCAAGGCGATTTCCAACCATAATATTGTGCGCATCAAATTTCCACATACGTTTGCAGTTTTCAATTATATTTTTAGTGTTTTTTTCTTCATCGAATTCCCTTATTACGTCTGGGTGATTTCCAATTTGAAAATGTAGGGTTTTATGTAACGAAATTACTCTCAATCAGTAAACCGAAAAGTTGAGGCATTAAAAACCAAACGTCTCTATTGATGTTGAAAGGAGCAGGCAACAGGACAGTTACGGTAAATGTATAATTTCTCCAAAATTTAACGTTAAGTCTGGCATTCATCAAGTGATTAGGGTAACTTCATCGACTAAAACAGATGTATTAAAATTTTTTATTGATTTCAAAGGATTTTTTCACTTAGTCCTTCCTTAACCTACATCATCCCAGTCCATTTCAAGTTTACTTCAGGTTGAATATTCTTCATGACTGATACACGGTTACTGGACCCCATTCACTTGTGTATATGTAAACGTAATTTTCACTGACATTGGAAATATATTGCAATAAAAGATAAAGGTTTCTTAAGAATATTATGTTATTGTTTTACTCTGCGAAATGACTTTTTCGAAGAATGAAGTTTGTCAGTAATCATGCGTTAAAAGATTATCCGCAAACTCGAAACAAAGTTAAACATTACACAGACTTATTGGGGGTGATTTCTTCTACTATTTTTTATTTATTTGGACACATGAATATTGGTACAAGAGAGCGCCAATATATATGCACCACACAAAACAATGAAAATTCGAGAGAAATACAAAGAAAGAAAAAAAAGCTAAGGAGCGCAAAAAAAAGAGAGGACAATAACGAATAGATTGGTGTAAGGTAATGTGCTAGTAATCAGGAAACGCAAAGGTACAATCGGAAGAAATCTTTCAGGTAAGGGAGACACAACCACTTTTTATTAAGAAAGTAAACGAAGGTTACAGCAGGATCGCCACTGGCTTCTATTCTGAGCCATATCTGATAACGTCTCTAGCCACTGTGTAGCACCATCTCTCGGACCCCAACCAGGGAGTCGTGAAGGACCAACAGAAGCCAGTCCTTTGCAGCTTTCTTTCATACCACGACACCATGCCATGCACTGACCACCTCTCCGCTTTTTCTAACCAGTCACAGAGTCGGAAAATAATGCACGACGTGGAATTCTCTGGGACGACATTCGTAGAACATGTCCAAGCCACCGAAGTCGGTGTTTCAAGATGGTTACACCAATTGGATTATCGTCTCTGCACCCGAATACACGATCTCGAGCATCTGCATTACTGACATGGTGTTGCCACTGAATGTCAGCAATCCTTCGGAGACAGCGATGATCGAACACGGAGAGTCGTCTAACGTCCTCAACTCGTAGAGGCCAGGTTTCACAAACATAGAGCAAAACTGCTCTCACTGACGCGTTGTAGATCCGACCTTTTACAGCCAGACTAACATCACGAAGGCGCCAAAGGTGGCCCAGATTGGCATAAGCCACTCTGGCTTTCACTATACGTGCATTGATCTCATCACTCACGCTACCACCAGCACTTATGCAACTACCTAGATACACGAACTTCTCGACTACGTCTATCTGCTCACCATCCAGGGTGAGTACAGGATTGTAATCCTGCCAGTCTTGTAGAAGTATTTTGCACTTCGAAGGTGCAAAGCACATACCATATCTACGGACACTGATTGCCAACTGATTAAGTGAGGATTGCATGCCTTGGGCATCATCACACAGTAAGACAATATCGTCCGCATACTCAAGGTCGAGAAGTCTTTCTCCAGGCAACAGATCCACACCACCATTACTTACATTTATCAGAGCTGTATCCAGAATGTCATCGATGGCAAAGTTGAGGAGGAATGGTGAGATTGAGCAACCCTGCCTAACGCCACTGCTCGAATGGAACAATGGAGAGAGGTGGTTGTATGCCCTCACTCTACCTGAGGTGTTTTTTATAGGGCTTTTAGGATGTTAATAAATTTCTCAGGCACACCCTTCTTCAATAGACAATCCCAGAGAACAGTCCTGTCCAACGAATCGAAGGCAGCCCTGATGTCAAGAAACACTACGATTGTTGGCCTTTGATAAGTATGATGGTGTTCTAACATTTGGCGGAGGGTGAAGATATGATCAATACATCCTCGACCAGAACGAAACCCAGCCTGCTCCTCGCGAGTCAATCTTTCTCGGGTTTTGAACATCCCACGAAGTATGACGGAAGCCAATAGCTTGGACGCAATCGGAAGTAGACTTATCCCCCGATAGTTGTTGCAGGAACGACGTGGACCCTTTTTAAAGATAGGGACAACTATCGACTCATTCCATGACGTTGGTACACTCTCTAATTCCCAAACCTTTGTAGACAACGTCGTCAGTTCCTTAGTCAAAAAGTCACCACCATCTTTAAAAAGAGCCGGAGGTAAGTCATCTGGGCCAGGTGATTTGTAACGCTTCAAGAGTTGGAGTTCCTTGCGGACTTCCTCCTCGTTTGGTGGATCAGTCGTCACCAGCCATGGAGGGCAGGACAGTCTGACCGATGTTGCTGGAGCAGCAGGCCAGTTGAACTGCCCTTCGAAAAATTCTGCCCATCGTCCAAGACGTCGATGAATGTTAGTGATTGGCATCCCATCATCCTCGCAGATTGTTTCACTCACACCAGACTTCTTGCTGCCAGTGGCTCGGATGAGCTGGAAGAGCTTCCGGTAGTTACCAAATGCAGCTGCTGCTCCCAGCTCATTAGCACGCTTCGACCACCAGACTTCTCTATCCTTACGCAAGCTTTGCCCAATTTCCTTACGTAACATTCTTCGTTTGTGGTCAAACTCACGGTCACCTGGAGTAGACCGACGGGCTTCAATGAGTTGTAAGGAACCAGGAGAAACCCAGTGCTTGAAAGCGGGACGTTTCGCAAACCCACAATTGACTGTTCCCGCCATTTTCATGGCGTCATGCAATTGCAACCAATGCTCATCTATACTTTTCGGTGGAATGGTAGCTAGCCTAGAGGCTAGCTCGGTTCGATACTTACTAGCAACAGAAGTTGCAACCAGCTTGCTAACATCAATCCGTTGGTGGGGGTCACTTCGTTGTCCACTGAAAATTAAGGCAAGATTGGCGCAGACCAAGGCATGGTCAGAGTCCAGATAGGTACTCCAAAAGGAGCGGCAGTCTTGTACACAACCACGCCAACGGTAGCTGATCGCGATGTGATCAATCTGAGTCCAGGCTTGAGATGCAGAGGGAGGACGCCAGGTGGCACATCGGCGATGACTGTGCCGAAAATTAGTTCTAGCCAGAAACGGGTTGTGGTCTGTGCACAGTTGCAGTAGACGGTCTCCGTTATCTGTCCTGATACTAACAAGTCCCCATCGGCCACCTAAACGACTCTCTTCTGTGCCTAGACGCCCTACCTGAGCATTCAAGTCTCCGGTTAGTACTACAATATCTGTCGAAAGCACTTTCTGGAGAAGGACAGATAACTGGTGGTAAAACTCATCCTTGATTGCATCCGGGCTGCAATCTGTCGGCGCATAGGCGGAGATGACGAAAAGACATCGTTTCTCACGCCGATTTCTTCTCACTTTGATGGAACTTTCTAATCTAACAGAACATAACCGACTGTTAGTGGGGATCCTATCGACTAGTGCTGCCTCAGCTCTAGAGCTTAGTGCGACACAAACGCCAGAAAGACCAGACGAAGATGCCACAGGGTCCCTGGATAAGCGCACGTAAAACAAGCTTTTCGAAGCGACAGATGGAGATCGAAGTTGTAGTACTTCGCCAGAGTCTTGAATACGGGTCTCGAATAGACAACAAACATCAACATTAAGACTTTCCAAAGACATAGCCAACCCTATCTGTTGTCCGACCTGCATAAGTGTGCGAACGTTGAAGGCAGCCAGTTTGAATGGTGCACGTGGTTTCATACAATTTTCAACCGGACAGTGACTCCAGAACGTTTAGATACAGTCGAATTTCCACCAAAGACGAGCCGCTGTATAAGTATAAAAGAGGATGAATAATGTGGAAAATAATAATAATAATAATAATAATAATAATAATAATAATAATAATAATAATAATAATAATAATAATAATGACAATAATAATAATAGTATTAATAATGACAATAATAGTAATGATAATTATTTGAATCGATTGATTGTTTTTCGGTGCGAGAAAAGTAGTTGTCATAGACATAGAGTTCATCGTTTGTGTGTGGGCTGTGATACTGCCCGGGTGCCCAAACCGAAGCACGTGGTTATCTTAGGGGGCCACTCCCCGAGCCTTTGACCTAAAGGTCTAACCCACAAGGCAATGGAGCATCGTAAGGAGATGCAATCCCATGGTAGCCGGTGACCAAAGATTGGTTCATACTCCATTTGTTCCCGCAGGATACTGGAGCCCATGTGCACCATTTGTTTGTGATCCGGTTAAAGCGCCGGACATTTGCTTTTCGTTCTCTCATTTTCGTAAACGACACCCCCGCCACGAGAAGGCAGTGGGTAGGACTTCCCTGGCAGAGGCTGTATACGCGCGGCCGTGTGAGAGTATTTTGAGAGGGAGAGCGGACTCACCCCACTCTCGGCCGTACCAGAGCATTCGGGGGCTCTAATATATCTATTTTTGTTCATACATACATTTATTTGTAAAAACATCTTGTGCAGTATAATTAAATAGTCTTTTAGGTGAATTGAATGCATACTGGACAGTGGTAATTTATCTCTTCAAATGTTTAATTTATAGGTAAGATATACACTTATGTGACCTAAACGGGCGTGCTCCATCAAGTGAACTCGAAGGAAAGCTTTTAGGTATGACCGTTATCACTCTCAAACTTAAGCATACAAACTTGTGAATTGAAAATGTGAACTTTTTTCTTTTGCTTAGAAACATAAAGGCTCTTATTTGTCCTCAGGCTTTCTTTTGGCAAGTAGTTATTTCTAGTTTTCTCACTTAATCTTTAGGAAGCAGTTGCAGTTGGTATTGAGGCTGCTTTACAGCCAGGCGATACAATTATCACTGCTTATCGCTGCCACGGCTTTACAATGACTCGCGGTGTTCCTGTCCACAATATAGTTGCAGAGCTCGCAGGAAGGAGGACTGGATGCACAAAAGGGTTAGGGGGCAGTATGCATCTTTACGCAAAAGATTTCTATGGTGGTAATGGCATCGTTGGAGCTCAGGTATGCTTTTTTGCTTTCCGTACAATACTTCATAATTTCAATTAGAGATTCTTATATATTTTTATGTTTGTTGTATGTGACCGGCTAGTCTTCAGTCATTATCATACATCTCAACCCTTATTTTCAGAATAAATGTTTTACGCTATACATGTGTGCTACTTCGTATTGTCTTTGTATAGTGATTGCATCAATTATTACCAGTGTTAGGACTTAAACTGTTTCCTGAATCATTGCTTGATATAATGACAGTAAACTTGTCTTTACATCACGGGTACACAGTTGTTTAGACTAAGGCAATAGCTTATAAATTTAGGTTACACTTTAACTGACGAATTCTTACACCAATCCTTCTTTAGAAACCAGATCAGGTACCCTGGCAGTATTCCAACTCTTACACATATCGACTGATTTATGTGTCGCATATGTATTTGATGCCTTCTTGCACCAGTGTTTATGTGTTTATGTAAATAGATAAGAAATCTGAGTTATATATATCTTCCCAGTAAAGTTAGTTTATACACCATATCGATATTGTTTTATGATTTGTGTTTGACAGGCCCCATTGCAAACAAAAAATTATTTCGACTACTACTAAGCCCGTAACAAAAATCTCATTAGGTAAACTTATCATGTCATCAGTAATGTATATGTAAAAAAAACTAAAAAATCAGGTCAGTATGATGACTGAGTTTCTTAAGCTAAGATATTTGTTGGATAGCCACTCCAGAAGTTTCTCTGAAGCTTGGAAGTTTCGGGTTGTCTAGTTGTGCTTCCATCAGAAACACACCTTCCTAGGTGCCAGTAACCCACTGTCTGAAAATTGTTTAATCTGTCACCTTAGTTCTTTTCGTGTACTTCATAGTTAACGAAACTTTTCATTTTCTGTCTTCCTTTATTTTATGACCTCATTATGGTAGTAATGTATGTAAAACGTATTTTATGGATAGAGTCATTTGGTTTTGAGTACCAAGTCTGGTCATAAGCATTTCTCAACATTTTGTGGTTACAGTATCATAGCTACTAGGTTTATCTATTATTTCGGAGTTTTCTTGTAGTTATTATCAATTAGCAACGTATATTTCTATTCTCTTTCTGCCTTCCAGGTTCCTTTAGGTGTTGGAATAGCATTACGTATGAAACATCGTGGGGAAAAGTTTGTCTCTGTAACTCTTTATGGAGATGGTGCGGCTAACCAGGGACAGGTGTTTGAAGCCTTTAATATAGCGAAGTTATGGAATCTTCCTGTGATTTTTATTTGTGAAAATAATAAATATGGTATGGGTACATCTGTGCAGCGTTCATCAGCAAATACTAATTACTATACTCGTGGAGATTACATTCCTGGATTATGGGTTCGTCTTCATTTGTTTCCAAGAAATGATTACGCAGTCGTTTTATTTATTTATTTAATACTAGTAGCTATTCTTTGTTAAGGTATAACAATAACTTAATTTCCATTCTTTCGTATTTTATTGTTGTAGTACTAATTTTAAGTTTTCATTCCGTTTAGTTCAATCTTCTCACGGTACTAATGTTTTTAACATAGCCTAGTTGTTCATACTATAAAGTTTTCACAGTTAAAGTATTTGAGATCCATTTCTGCAAAACTACTTCTAAGAACTCATAATATGATATGTCACGACACACTTGATAAACTATCAGTTTTGCGTTCTCGGTCTATTTAATCAGACAGTTAATCTACTTACAAGTTTTTTTTCGTTTGCCAGGTTGATGGTATGGATATACTTACTGTTAGAGAAGCCACACGTTTCGCTGCTGATTGGTGTCGTTCTGACAAAGGACCAATACTGTTAGAAACAGAGACTTATCGTTACCATGGTCATAGTATGAGCGACCCAGGCACTAGTTATCGTACACGTGAAGAAGTTCAGTCTATGAGGCGTGGACGAGATCCTATCGCTTTATTTCAGAAGAGCATTGTGGACAATGGGCTATGTACACAGGATGAAGTTAAGGTAAAGTAGTTTTGTGAAAAACATCTCAAATGTTTACAAATTTATATGGTCTTAAGATTTTTGAAAGTTTTTTTGCTTGATACAAGGTTATATAGGCCCTTGATTTAAAATTAAATTGAGCATGAAATGATTGAAGTGATCAGTGATGTGATATGATTGTTATAATTAGAGCACATCACATGTGATGTCATTGGTTTTGGTAGTTCGTACTTTTCTGTTTGTTAAAAATGTGACATATATACTTCAAGAGCATTGGATTAGACCACATAAACATACTACAGCATTGTTGTAAATGAAGGTGATATTTATTTGCAGTTTTCCTGAGTGGGACTTTTGACTCGACTATTGGCGTCATTTGTTCTGTTTGAGTCCTTACAAATGTGTTCTTCCAAATTAGTCTATCAACTTTACCTAGTCAGTTAGTTCTGTCAGTAGTCAATATATAGCAAAATGTTGAAAAATGCCACTAGTATTGGTTTCGCAAGTAAGTTTCATTTACCGAATATTAATCTTAGGCATGTACATGGTGATATAACCAGACGTAAGTTGCGTTGTGAAGCTAGTGACAATTATTTTTGAAGGTATCAATACCAAGGTTTGATTTGATAATTTCGAATAAATTGAGCATTGTGTAGATTGTTATAAATAAATAATATATTTGTATTATCCCGCTGAGTAGAAAAACTAGATTTCCTGACGTTTCGTGACTTAGTGTAAGCCACTTCTTCAGAGAATAAATAACCAAATTAAAATTAATCCAAGTTTAAATAGTACAACGGAACAACGCAAATATTATGTGATCAACCAAAAAACAGGTTTTTTGATATACTGGATGTCTTACTATCGGATACACCATTTACAGATATTACTATAAGGTAGTGTAACAGTCTTGTTTGTAAAATGACATTTTAAACTTCTAGTCTGAGAAAAGTAGTTTTTCTCCTTAGCAGTTTATGCTTGTAACACGGTCTTGAAAAATATATCTTGCTTATATATGATGAATCCGCTTATTTTGTAATATTGGGTAAAAGTGGTGAACGTGCTAATACAAACATTCATCAGCTAAGGTGGTTGGAACATGATATTTTCCAACGGCTATCAAGAAGAAAAGTTAAAAGAGATTTTAGGAGGTAAACCAGGAAATTACACTGGCCCGCATTGTAATTGATCATTTCCTTCTATTGTGTAAGATGATGCAGATTCCTTAGTTGGGATCTTCAGTTTAGTCGTAATTGATTATTGTTGACCTTTAGTAATATGCCTCAAAATCTGTTGCAGTTGTGCATTCAGTTGTTCTTTTTCTCTGAAAATGTAAGCTAAGTGTTATTCAGAACTTTTCAATCACACGGTTTCACATATTACTCTAAAATTATTGTCTTTGTATTTAGTTTTCGTCTACTTTTTATATCAGTATTTCACCTTCTATGGTTGCCATCTGATTAACTTCCTCTCTTTGCCAATTGATGTATGTTGGCTCCTGCGTTGTCTTCAACTTACGTTCCATAGATGACTAAGTAAAAATCCACTTAATAATTCTTTCTCATTTTTTATAACAGAAGTAGTCTTTAATCGGCGTTATGTTTACTGTATCCTATTTTTTAATTCGTTTGTAGGAGATCGAAAAAAGGGTTCGAACTGAAGTAGATAAAGAAGTAGAAAGGGCGATGAGCGACTCAGAACCACCACTAGAGATGATGTTTGGAAATATTTACCATGGGATACCTCCAAACTACAAGATTCGCGGTTGTGATTTAAAAACTTGGGGTTCACCATTTGTCACTAAGTAGCGAGATAGCTTTACGTGTTCTGAAGTTTGAAAAAGCTGGTCAGCATATATTACCTAATTTATTAGTCAGGCTTTTAGTATTTTCTAAGGTACGAAGGATCACAAATATTTAATCCCTTCATGATACAGCCTGTATACGTATGAATAATTTTATAATTTATATCGTCTGAAATAAAATCTTATACTATAATAATGATTTCATGTTTTTTTGTTATTGTTATTAATTTATTGCAGTGTATATAATCCCGAAATTTAGCAAATCTATGCAAAGTATAAACTTACATAACTTCCTCTTACAATAATACTATGTTTCACAGATTGAAATCATGAGTCAGTTGAAGCTAGACCACCATTGAAAACCTGGAAGCACTGGACGGCCGTTTCGTCCTAGTATGGGACTCCTCAGCAGTGCGCATCCACGACCCCGCACCACCCGGGGCTCGAACCCAGGACCTAGTCACGTTAAGTCTTTGATTTGGGATCCGGTGCATATTACTTTTTTAACAACATCTACATACATGCTGCACACAGAGTGATAGTTAAATTTTTTTTAATAACTTATTTAAGCCTGAACCCCCCCCACCGACGAGAAATCTGTAGTCAACTTTGTCACGGGCTCTGCTTTCCAGTTTTCAATTAGTGGTATTCATGGACGTCTGCTTTCGATTCCCTGCATCACGTGTTCTTCAGTTTGTCTCTTTTCCTTTGCTCATGAGCATCCCAAGTTAGGCCTCGCTTTGTGATCCAGTTTGGGAGTTTCCGATAAGTTCAACATATCCACCCACCCGAGTTCAATGTTATGGATTTGGAACTTTGAATAACCAATCAAACAATCCCATCCAAATCTGTTTTCTGACAGAGAGAGTCTAAAGAGATGAATAATGTTCAGACGTAGGTAGGTTCCTGCAAAATAAAAAAAACGTTACTTATAAATATGTTAAACAAAAGCGCATGATTTTGTTTTTAGTCTCCCGATAATGAATGATCGTGAAAATTTTTAGTTTAAAGTGTCAAAACCAATATTCTTCTAAACATTAACCTGATAGATTGCTTATGCTAAAAATTTGGTGTGGTGTTTGAACGAACTAATGATAATATTGTACTGGTTGATTGTGCGATTTCGAATTCCAAATACAGTACAATCGTTTGTGCCTGTGTCTTCTTAATTCAATTGCGTTATTTCTTGGACTCTTAGTTCGTGCTATAATTCAAATAATTCGAAACATTATGTTTGGTCATAAAATATAACATGACATCATAAATACCAAGTAAGAGAAATATTGAAGAGAAGAAAAGAGGTATTCACTTAAGATATGGTAAATGCTCTCTTATCACTTTTCATTTCTTCCTTATTATCATCGCTATCTCATCATTTCGACTCTTTTGCTATTTATCTTGTTAATTTCCTCTCGTCGTACTGATGTGGTGTAGTGAGTTAAATCAGGCTTTAGATTGATCATGATTTTCTTTAGATAAACGATATTACAACAGAGTGATCACCAATGGCTTCGGTTTCAATTGGAATCTCGTCTTAATTCAAGCGTCCCTATTGTGCTATTGTACCTAGGTACGTCAGAATTAGTTACTTGGTAATACAACAACTAGTAGCGGTCCTTCAGAGACAGTGATGGTTGAACTCAGAAAGTTGTTGAACATAAGCTCTTAATGACTCGTTTACAAAAGTGTTGTGGTGAAGAACTGTAAATTTTGATACAACTAAAATAAAGATATATTATAGTTGTGTGGCGCATATCAAACTAAGTTTTAATGATCGGTTTAGTCCCTCATATCCAAACTGGAGCGAATACTTATGAAACCAAACTTCATCTGTTTCCAGTGTTTCTCCATAATGTGTGCTAAGCTCACGAAGTACTAACTGATATCGATCTCACCAATTTGTTGCTAATTTTATGACCAGCATTTTACATAACACTGAAATCAGATCTAGATACTTGAAATCGAGCAGTTTTTTAAAGTGACGAATCCACTCTGGTACCTTGTACTTTCTTACTTGCAGTCGTCAGAATGTTATTGTTGGGGAGATCCAAAAAATTTGAAAAAGCCATGGTAGGCTCTGGAAATACTGAGAAGCATCTTATCCAATCGGCGTGCCCTAGAAGTTTCGCCAGAAACATCTACAAAGTGAAAAGTCACGTGTCGAGTTTCTGATTGGATGATTACTTATACTACTACTATGTTTAGTAGCATTCCAGAATTTTCGGGACATCTATGGACATCTAAAATACCACAAAAACCCTAGATTTTCTGTAAATAAACGAACATTTGGTTTAAAGCGTTCAATTCCATATTTCGCGCCTTTTCTCTCATGTTCAAGTCGCTGTGTAGATTTAGCCTGTTGCTATTAGAAGACCTTAGAACTGAATCTAGCGTTCAATTAGAAGACTTATCAGTTATTACAGCGGGCTAGATAGAAATGATCAAGATTGAGTAACTTTCCAGCTTCACTGCTGGTCTCGAGCAATAAATTTTTTTGTAGTTTTCAAGGTGTTAGTAAACTTCTCAGGACTAACCTCGACGATCGAATCTATGGAGCAGTTTATTCCAGCAAAAGACAGATCTTATTGTTGCTAGATATTTTTTCACACCGCTGTCCGGATAGTATAACAACGGTAACAATGTGTGCTACTTATATTGACTTAAGTAGTATACGAAGTTAGTCGTGTACAGAAGATCTGGCAGCAGAGCGATAAGAGGATCGAACAGTAAATAATGGAAATAGGATGCAGTTTGTATGCAAATGCAAGAACAATGAATTCTGAGTCATTTTGAGACAATTGGTGGATATTTTGGAAATTAAACATTTACGTTATGATTGTTAGATTTTATTAACATGTCCTGTATTTTTTTGCCAAATACATTCGCTTGTCCCCACTGGTGTTCTTGTTCAATACATCAGATGTATACACATTTTCACATAATACATATTTTCAAAGTTAGTTACTACAATAGTGTAGTTTCAGAGTGATGAAGTACCAAATTCACCAAGACATTTAAAATGAACTGTGTCACTACATTCCGTCAGTGTTTGTTAACTTGGGTGTTTTCTGAAATTTAGTACTTGAATTTACTTTTAAATCACTAACTCGTTAGTATTGACAAGTTGTACCAGAGAGAAAACTGAAGCCGATGTTACTGATAAGACAAGTCACTGGATTTGTTATTTCAAGTTTTCTTTTCAGCGTCCCAGATAAATGTGGAAATTATTGATCGAAATGTACATATTATTCGGTTATTATTGAAATTAGGTTTGTTTATTGCAATGAAAGGAGTAGTTTCCGCCAATTGTGGTTGGTATTGCATTACATAGTGATAATATATCACGATACTCATTGAAAGAGTTGGAGTGTGGCTCTAACACTAAATTACATGTAAAATAAACCTAGCAAGATTTGTGATTCTACTTGTGAGCCAATACTTTCATTTAGATTCTGAGTGCCTATTTCACGAGTTTAAGTTGCAGTAGCCCAGTTGTATTTTACTGAACTTGACTTTAAGATGTCAGCAGTTGTACACTATCAGTTCGATTATGTTCACCAGGGTTGTTTATGAAGATTTCGCACTCCTTTCAATTGTTAGTTCTCTATATGGGTCTTTTGGATTTGGTTTACTATCCTTCTAAACTTTTTGCTTCATATTTGTAGTCATTTCCAATGGTATAATTCATTGTGATTTTTCTTTTTCCATTAAACCAAAGTGTTATTCAAAAACAAGAAGTTTGTACATCACTATCAGTTAAGCCAGAAATCATAGGATTCATTTCATTAGTAACCGTGGCAACACAGTTTGTAATATCAACGCCTAATAAGGAGACGAGGATACTTATGAAAAAATCTCTACCTGATTGGATTATATGGTTTCAGTTTGAAAATACAGTAAATATAGAATGCTTAATATACTTTGAAGAAACAGCTTACATTAGGTTGATAAGCCTCGGAGATTTAAATTTCCTACACGTTGGAATTTTACAAATATATAATTAAATTTATGATTGTGTCAAATTCGTTTTTTGTAGTAAATAAATTCGAAACATCCAATATTGTTCAGTGATTAAACGTTATTAGCAAAAATCTAATTCACCTCATTTATTATTTCACAGAATTAAATCTGTATTGTAATTTGTTCACCTTTCGAGATTCAAGTTTACCTAGGTTTTTTATATTGTGTCGAAGATTGTTATTCATTTATTACTACACTATCTTGTCTTATGTATCTTAGAATATGCGTATTGGATTCAAAAAATCAACGTCATGCTCTAACTCAAAAAATCAAATGAATTGTGTATATTTTAAAAATTATTCGAAAGTTGATTACCCCAGTATTCTGAAGGTATTCATTTATATAGGCAAATTTAACAGAGTTTAAATTAATAACAATATGTCTTAGTATAATTTAGGGTATTTTAACACGAAAAAAAAATCATCGTTAATTCAACAAATTAAAATACTCAAATCTACTTAAGTCAATTTAAAACGTGAGATTATGGAAATATTACATTTCACAAGATTTTCGTATAGGGGTACACCAAAATTTAAGTAATTAAGATTTACAACAAAATCTAATCGGTCAACTGACAACACAACTATCTACATTCAGTGTTTGTTGACCTCACATTTTTTTGAATGATATATATTTGACTAATTAAAACTTAGGTATAACAGGATCTGTTACAATTTACTACTTATTCGGTAAAATGATCACGCTTGATAGTTTGTGCCTATAAATACTTTTAATAATTACAAGAATGATGTAGAATTTTGAAAAATGTCATCATAAAAATAGTTAATTAGATTAACAATATTATGGTGGGCATTTTTGCTATCGAAATTGTAGATCATTAACTGAAAAAAGGACATGTACCGTACACATTTACAGAAGTTTGTTTATAGTCAAAGGAATTCTTGTTGAAACAGGATTCCATACATCAGAAAAAAAGTCCGATATTTTATTCAACTGTGTGTTTTCGAAGCTGGTTGAGAGATCATAACCGATCGAGTGAACTAGCGATCAACGAATTCACTAAAAATGTACCTGACCAATTTACGACATCAGAATATTTTATCACAATCGTATAATTGACAGTAGAAATTTCCGAAGCTGACTGTAAGATGGTTTCAATTTATTCCCTTTAATGTTCTTTCACATTATGTTATTCTCACTTCAATTGATTAAACTACCACTTGTCACATCAAATTAAAAAGAGAATCTATCAAAAGGCAACGCAAATGTCAGTGAAACTTTCATCTACATAGTGATCTCCTTGAATATTAGAGTGAAGATATTGGTTAGAACGCACTGATTTCGGTGGTGCTGCGTTAGTACCATTATTGATGCTTTATATGAATCATTTTAAAAGAACTTTTGACATAAATTTTGACCTTATTTGTGCTTATAAGAAATAGTGTGTTCGTTTACGTAAAAAAAACTCCTGTACATCTTTCAGAGGAGCTGTATCAGACATCAATTATCTAGTGAGTAAATAAATAAATGACAGTATGTCTTATCTAATTCATTTCTGCAGAAAAAAGTATCTCTATAGTTACAGTGTCAGTATTTAAACTTCGATTAAACTACCTGTAAACCAACGTGAAATGTAAGTAAATTCACAGAAACAGAAAAACTTAATTTTCTTTACTGTCTGTGTATACACATTACAGCTTCATTATTCAAATAGCCGTACCTACCTTTTAGATTTCATGTAACCTGTCTTGTTCACTTAATAGTTCTACCAAATGTTTAACACGCTTACATTAAGACAAATTGAACTGCTGTATAATATATGAGGCCTTTGATAAGCAGATTAAAATTCTGTACGCATCAATAGGTGATATGTTCAAAGCCTATTCATATAGTGACATTGATAATCTCTAAAAACTACAAAAGCGAACCAACCAAGAAGCTGTTTCCAAACCCTCACTACGTGTTGGAAAATTTTTTCTCGAGTAATTGAAAGGATATCAAATAGGATGTTCTTTGTACATTGGCTAGATAATACTCTTGAAAATGAATCATAGTGTAATGAGAAAAAAGAACGATGCTAAAACTTATTCTTCTACATTGTCTGTTTCGCGATTGATTACGAAACAGAAGTTTTGACACCCAAGAGATAGAAGTTTCGAACAGTGTCTATCGTGAAACAAATAAGGTTTTGTAACTATAAAAGTTGTTGATGATTGAATGTGACAGGAATGACCATGTTTTGAAGAACCGCTAATCTAAGCACAATAATAAAAACTTTAGACTTGAGAATCATAATAGAGGATATCTTCAAGTTAATTTAATTTATATTTGCAGATCACAGTGAAACATAAGTGTTCCATATTTTTTGTGAATCCCCTTAGGCAAATTATCATCCAATAGGCTTTCTTAATGAATAAAAATTATCATAATCTATTCTGTTGTACTACGTTTATTAATTGCCTTTAAGCGAACACAAATCATCAAAAATTCTAAGTTTGTATCAAATCTTCCGAAATGCGTATTATTTACTGAAGATCTACTTAGTGACAATCGACATACCAATATGTCAAATGAAAAGAAATTGAGTACGGATTTTGGTCAGCAACAATTGTCAAAACTATAATAACGGTAAGTATATGATGGGTAGAGAGTTGCGTTCTCGTAATGAAATTAAACAATGGATAAAAAAGGTGATCAGGAAAGTTAAGTATCATGGCTAACAGATTGTCACAATATTAAAAATGATTTATTGATAGCAATACTTATTGCCACGTCATTCTTTATAATTCCATACGGCATTTTTGATTCTTGAGTAATACCCAACTCTGTAGTGTAACATCTTCGACTAATACAATACGATCTTGATTCCCACATTTTCTGATTGACGCATGCTACACAGTAGGAAGAGACTGGTTATATGTTTAAATATTGCTTCTAATATATACATTTTCCCATTTCGATTATTGTCAACAAGATAGCAGAGGATAACAAGTTGGTTCATAAAATAAAATTGAAAAAACCTCAATGTTAGAGATTTTCGCAGCTTTCCAGTAAATTTAGAAAATTGCATCTCTACTCAAACAAAAACTCAAGGTAAAAGTTTTGGAAATTTACAAACTTTATTTATTTGTACAGAAAATATTTTGTCGTCTTCTTTAGTTAAAAAACCCCTATCCTTAAACATATAACAAAAACTCAGCACATACTGGGTTTTGCCAGGATGCAATCATATGAACAAAATATACAGACCATCAAGGATAAGTGAACATTATTATACATATAAAGTCACTGTACATTTGAATGTTACTTATGAAAATCAAAAATCTCATCAAGAAGTTTTGGCTAATTTCTCAGAAAAGTCTTCTAAAATTCCGTTCACATGTTCATTGTCTTTAATATGAACTGGACGATTCATGGTACGCTTTTGTCCCGGTTTCTTTCTTTGTACAGGTAACTTTAAAATACACAACAAAAGCAGATTCTGTTCAAACATCAATACTGTGGAATTTAAAATAAGGAAATTAGAATTACATGTTTATAGAAACTGGTTATTTTTTATCTCAGATGATTTACTATGATTAGTTATTAATATGTAGCAAGTACCAATGGTAACCGTTTAAACCTAGAAATTTGGATATTATAAAGTCTTAAGAAATATCATTATGACCACTCGACTGAAATTTTATTCATCAAAATACAGAAGGTTAGAAAGAAACTGTTATATAGATTATTTCTCATGAACTGAGCCAGTAATAAAGAAAATATAATCAAATATATGGTTGATTAGATTCAAATAATAATTCTGGTTTATTTTTCAGAGGTATTCAAATTTTTCATGAACATATAAAGTTCAAATTCGTGCATACAAGGAGGCGAGAGCAGAATACAGAAATACGAATGATTTAGTAACACTGAACCACCTTAGATATCAATTAAAAATAGTAAACCCACAAGATTGAATTATAAATATGATAATAAATGGTCGTCAATTACGAACTACCATTTCACCGAAAAGTGTAGATAAGCATTGGTTGCAATTGCATGATGCCATGGCGAGTAAAGTTGCGAGCGGCTTCGCGAAACGTCCCGCTTATAAGCACTGGGTTTCTTCAAACTCCGTACAACTCAACGAAGCCTATCGGTCTACTCCGAGTGACCGTGAGTTTGACCACAGACGAAGGCTGATACGCAATGAAATCGGGCAAAGCTTGTATAAGGACCGAGAAGCCTGGTGGTCGGAGCGTGCTAATTAGTTGGAAGCAACAGCTGCATCGGGTAACTGCCGGAAGCTCTTTCAACTCATCCGAATCACTGGAAGCAAAAATTCTGGTGTGAGGATGACGGGACGCCAGTCACTAACTTCCATTGACGTCTTGGACGATGGGCAGAGTTCTTCGAAGGGCAGTTCAACTGGTCCACTGCTCCGACAACATCGATCAAACTGTCCTGACCTCCGTAACCTGTGACGACTGATCCACCAAATGACGCGGTAGTCCGCAAGGAACTCCAACTATTGAGGCTCTACAAATCACCCCACCCAGATGACCTACCTCCGGCTCTTTTTAAAAATGGTGGTGAATTTCTGGTTAAGGAACTGAATACGTTGTTTACAAAGGTCAGGGAACTAGACAGTGTTCCAACATCATGGGATGAGTCGATAGTTGTTCCTATCTTTAAAAACGGTTCACATCGTTTCTGTAACAACTATCAGGGGATTAGTCTATTTCCGATTGCGTCCAAACTATTGACTTCTGTCATACTTCGTAGGTTGTTCAAAAACCGAGGAAGATTGACTCGCGAGGAGCAGGCTGGGTTTCGTTCTAGTCGAGAATGTCTTGATTATATGTATAGGCAGGGTTGCCCAATCTCACCATTCCTCTTCAACTTTGCCATCAACAACATTCTGGAAACAGCTCTGGTGGATGTGGATCTGTTGTCTGGAGAAAGACTTCGACCTTGAGTATGCGGATGATATTGTCTTACTGTATGATGATGCCCAAGCCATGCGATCCGCACTTAATCAGTTGGCAATCAGTGTCCGTAGGTACGGTATGTGCTTTTCACCTTCGAAGTGCAAAATACTTCTACAAGACTGGCAGGATCCTAATCCTGTACTCACCCTGGATGATGAGCAGATAGAAGTAATCGAGAAGTTCGTGTATCTAGGTAGCTGCATAAGTGCTGGTGGTAGCGTGAGTGGTGAGATCAATGCACGTATAGTGAAAGCTGGAACGACTTATGCCAATCTGGGCCACCTTTGGCGCCTCCATGATGTTAGTCTGGCTGTAAACGGTCGGATCTACAACGCGTCGGTGAGAGCGGTTCTGCTCTATGCTTGTGAAACCTGGCCTCTCCGAGTTGAGGATGTTAGACGACTCTCCGTGTTTGATTTTCGTTGTCTCCGAAGGATTGCTGACAACCAGTGGCAACAACATGTTAGTAATGCAGAGGTTCGGCATCGTGTGTTCGGGTGCACAGATGATAATCCAATTGGCGCCACTATCTTGAAACATCGACTTCGGTGGCTTAGACATGTATTTTATGTATGTCGTCCCAGAGAATTCCACGTCGTGCATTATTTGCTGACGTTGGGACTGGTTGGAAAAAGCGGAGAGGTGGTCAGTATATGACATGGTGTCGTGGTATGAAAGAAAGCTGCAAAGAGATGGCTTCTGTTGGTCCTTCACGACTCCCTGGCTGGGGTCCGAAAGATGGTGCAACACGGTGGCTAGAGACGTTATCAGATGTGGTTCAGAATAGAAGCCAGTGACTATCCTGCTGTGACCTTTTAATTTCTTCATAAAAATTGGTTTTGTCTTACTTAACTGAAAGAAGTCTTCTGGTTGTACCTTTACGTTTCACCATTATTATTATTACACTATCACATACTAATCTGTGGTCGTTATTGTTTTTTCTCTTATATGCACCTTACCTTCTTTCTCTCTTCCCATTCTCATTGTTTTGTGTGGCGCATATATATCTGGTGCCCCTCTTGTACCAATATTTATGTGTTCAAATAAATAAATAATAACGATGCAGTATCAAAACCTGATCATTTTCGTGTTATGATGTAGTGAGATGACAGATTAGATTGTTTCCATTGTAGCTAACTGTTGTGAATATAGAAAGGGGAAAAAGTCTAAAAACAAAATTATCGTACGCAAATAAATCACCCAGGGTAGTTTTGGTGGATGCGCTACAGTATAGCAACAAGGATGATGCAAGGTAAAAATCTGTATTGCTGTTGGATATGAATTAATCAATATGGTATAGGAGGAACTTCAACAGCAAACTACACACTAAGATTAATCATAAGAATCATAGTCGGCATAACATTGTGGTATTATGAAAAGCAATCAACAATGTATTAATGATCCATAGTAATATATGAATTGGGAAATTACTTTGTTTCCAGTATATACGTGTAGGTAGAATAGTGAAAAAACCGATATAAACTTACGAAATTTTTACGATCACCAGACATTGAGGAGATTCCATTACGCTTTAAATACTCCTCAATTTTTGTTTCATGAACACCCTCCACACTCACCGATCGCCATTGTTGCTTAAATTCTACAAGCATACAAAAGAAATCGTAATAATATTGATCATCAATAATTTACAGAAATTAATTATAAAGTGTACGAAACAAAAGTGTATTTTAAAATCTCAACTTAATCAGTAATGCGCATGTATGACCTGAAACACGATTTTCAAACATCTACTTATTGTAATTTGAATGAATTTCTAAAACTAAGTACAAGTTACAAACTAGATTTTTGACAGAAAAGAATAATAGTTTTCATTTCTTTTTTGCAAACATTAACTATGCTTATCAATAACTTTGAAATCTATCCAGTTATTTTAAAGCGGCAAACTGAACCAGAAATTGGACTGATATTACTTGTTGATGGAAAAGGAGTATGAAATACTAAAAATCTACTCGAAAAAAAACGAGAACGATATGGAAAATTGATGCGAACTATACGTTAGCAAACAATTAGAAAAGGATTAGTTTAATACGGTACCGGTTGTCATGAGAAAATTATGAGGGTAAAAGTTTAAAATGATGAAATATTTGAAGAAGTGAGAAAGAATTTGTAAGTTATATAGTAAATGATGGTTAATTTATTTCTTCCTACTATCATATATTTCGGAATTCATAATCACAAGAACTGATATTTGTAAGTGACACAAAATCCACAAGAAACTGATAGTCTGTTTGAGATATTTGAGATGACAGTCAATCAATAGCAGCGTAGAACCTGGTATGTATATACATCGGTTCAAGTTTCCATACCCCATTAGAACAGAGACGACGTTGTCAGGTCAAATACCAGAATGGTAGAGGTAGTAACAGTATGAGTGGTAATAGAAAACATTAGGTATCAAAGATACAGCTTGAGAAAATATAAATTAGTGAAATAAAAAAGGTTATAAGAAACATAGAATCGCAGAATTTGAGGGAAGACAAAGAATGGATTCGCCTGTGCCATTGCAAACGATTTTGAGCCATTTCATTCTGTATCTCTAACCATTAGCTACGGTAATTACACAGACCGCAGTCAGATAGTCTACACATATTAAAATGGCTAAATGCAACTGCTAGTGAACTGATTCCATGTTTCGGTTTGGCCGCCCCTCGTTTTCTTCCAGCCTACTCCTAAACTACAAAACATTGGGCGTTGAGGTAATGAGTGGTTGGTCATACGTAACAGATTTTCAAACCACCTCAGTTGATGAAGGTTTACTACTTCATTAATCGATTCGCCATCCGTACATATAACCATATTCCTAGCCCTACATAAAACATAAGAAGAACTTCTAGTTAGATATTGTGACTTGTGATCCTGTGCCCTTATCGACATACGATGTAATGATGCCGCCAACAAAAAAATAGTGAATTATCGACCGGACCAATGACGCATAAAACCCGTACGAGCAGTCTAGAGTTTTTACCGGTCCCGACCGTTGTTGCTACCTTGACGTGGTGGTCGGGCTTGCCTATCCTGATGAAGCAACCGAGCTATACTGGCTGGAACAACTGTTCCTCAAGGTCCTACCATGTCAGAAAGGTCGGTTGATGAACGGTAAGACTGAAAGCAACAAACCCAAGGTCCGAAGGCGAAGTCGTATTGCTGACTGTACAGAGGTGTGACAGCAGTAAGGTGTTTCCTTCAGACAACCAGCATAACAGTGATGCTGCCTTCCAACAAAGAGGGTTGGGGTTAGAAAAGGTAGACCCTAAAAATGCACACCTCGCCTTATCCCACAGATATCCGTCTCCGGCGGTAAGGTCCCAAAAATACGGAGCGAACACAAAAATTGCCCATAAAAAGGTCGTGTGTGACCGACCTCAAGCAGTTGTCCCTTGGGCACTGAGCCCCCAAATGCCCTGGTACGGCCGAGAGTGGGGAGAGTCCGCTCTCCCTCTCGAAATACTCTCACACGGCCACGCGTATATAGCCTCTGCCAGGGAAGTCCTACTCACTGCCTTCTCGTGGCGGGGGTGTTGTTTACGAAAATGAGAGGACGAAAAGCGAATGTCCGGCGCTTTAACCGGATTCCAAAACAATGGTGCACATGGGCTCCAGTATCCTGCGGGAACAAATGGCGAATGAACCAATTGTTGGTCACCGGCTTCCATGGGACTGCATCTCCTTACGATGCTCCACTGCCTTGTGGATCAGACCTTTGGGTTGAAGGCTCGGGGTGTGGCCCCCTAAGATAACCACCTGCTTCGGTTTGGGCACCCGGGCAGTATCACAGCCCTCACTCATATCGGATGAGATTTGTGTGGCGCATATGTATTTGGTGCCTCTTTGTACCATTATCTATGTGTTGAAATAAATAAATAAATAAATAACTGAGGTCACGCTCCCAGGTCACTAAGACCACCTCTAATCCAATTTCCTTTTCAGGTACCTCCATAAGAACCCTTCCACGGTGTGGGCAACCGGTAAGTGATAACCGCCCTTATACCTCTAACAGCACCCAAGACCACTGTATTCATAATCAACCTCCGTCTTCACTTTCTCTTATTCCTCGTACATCGACTTTCACCTCTAAACTTCCTTTTTCGGCTTCCTCCTCAAATGTCACCATAGCCAACGATTCTAGTGCTCAAAACACTGTCCCAGGTTTACTGAAACCTCTCTACAAACTACACATTAGAGCCTTCAACGTACGCACACTATGAAAAATCGGTCAACAGGCTTCCCTGGCTAGAATCCTAGAATCTCGTACCATTGATGTATGCTGTGTCTCTGAAACACGTATACAGGATTCCAGTGTGGTCATTCACTTGACCTCACCTCGGCAAAACGGAGAGCCAACTAGATACACCCTCCGTGTATCTGGTGACCCGACGGCCAGCTCTCGTGGACTGGAAGGAGTAGGGATAGCACTAAGCATGAGGGCGGAACAAGCACTGTTAGAGTGGATCCCCGTTAACAGTCGTTTATAAGCTGTTTGGCTAAAGGGCTCCGTAAGAACTCGGAAGGATAGGGACACATGTCGTTGCCTTTTTGTTGTTTCTGCCTACGCTCCCACCGACTGCAGCTCAGATGAAGTGAAAGATGAATTTTACAGAAAGCTATCTGAACTTCTTCAGAAAGCTAAACGTTCAGACAGAGTACTCGTAGCAGGTGACTTTAATTCCCAGATAGGTAGTTTAAACCAAACAGAAAGGCATTTAGGTGAGTATTTTAATATTCCGGCTCAGCGAACAAATAATGGTGATCGTCTGCTGCAACTGTGCTCAGACAATCGTTTAATTTTAGCAAACACAAATTTTAAGCATAAGGAGAGGCATCGTCTAACATGACGACCCCCTAGACCAAACCAACGATGGAATCAAATAGACCATATTGACATCAGTCATCGTTGGAGAGGGTCGGTAGAAGAATGTCGCTCATTCTGGAGTACATGCTTGAACTCCGACCACGCCCTAATACGGGCACGCATCTGATTGCGCCTCACTGCACGCAAAAAAAGCCTCAGTAAAAAGACCCATTAGATCTGAATTGAGTAGCGAGAAAACCAAAAGTAGGTTCCAGGAACAACTGAGGTCGCAATTAAGTAGTTCTGAAAACGAGGTTGACCCAGATGTTGCTTGGAAAGCTATACAAACAGCTGTGACATCTATCAGTGATTTAAACCACAGGGTTACAAAGAACCAATGGATTTCCTCTAGGTCTATTGCACTGATGGATTCTCGTAAACTCATCCCATCAGGCTCTGAACACGATGAAGAGCGACAACAAATCAGATATAGGTTAAGCAAAAGTCTAAGAAACGACCGTGAGCAGTGGTGGGCAACGAAAGCAAAAGAGATGAAAAAGGCGGAGACTATAGGGAACACAAGACAGCTCTACAGACTAATAAAAGAAACTGGAATTAATAAGTCAAGTGTGAGATTATATCGGAAAAAGACGATACACTCATCTGCTCCCAGTCCAGGCGTTTAGAACGATGGGCGGAACATTTCAGAGAACAGTTCAACTGGCCTTCAGCTACTCTACAACTACCCTCCATTCCCAGACAGCGTGAATGGAACATTGAAGTAGGTCCCCCAACTCTTGCTGAAGTTCAAAAGGCTATAGATAATCTGAAACAAGGTAGGGCAGCTGGTCCAGATAGATTGGCTGCAGAGGTCTTTAAGGATGGTGGTTCAATTTTAGCGATTAGGTTGACTAATATTTTAGCTAAGATCTGGGAGTTAGACGTTATTCCATATGACTGGTCGCAATCACTTATCATCCCACTATATAAAAGAGGGTTAAAATTATCCTGTGACAACCATAGAGGGATTAGTTTAGCCAATATAGTATCTAAAATACTAGCCTCGATAATTATCGGACGCCTAACTAATACTCGTGAACTACGAACACGAGAGAATCAAGCAGGCTTCAGACCTGGTCGTGGCTGCATCGACCACATATTCACCATTCGTCAGGTTCTAAAACACAGGCATACTTGTCGGCATCCGACAATGGTGGTCTTTCTTGACTTGAAAGCAACATTTGACTCAGTAGACCGCGAGATTCTGTGGCAGTGTGTGTCATTGAAAGTCGTACCTCAGAATTACATAAACCTTGTGAAAGCTCTGTACTCGAACACTACTAGTCGAGTCAGAGCTTATGGCGAACTGTCATCTGCTTTTGCAACCACAAGTGGTGTCCGTCAAGGCTGTCCACTTCCTCCATTTTTGTTTAACTTCATCATAGACCTATTGATGGAAATTACATTCTCGTCGACTGAATTCTCGGGTACTGATATCCTTCCAGGAGGTCCACTTACGGACTTATAATACGCAGATGGCACAGTCCTGTTTGGTGAAGACGCTGATAAAGCTCGTTTGGCTTTCGCCAACTTACGTCACCTATGGCGAATACGAGATATCCGTCTATCAATAAAAGGACAAGTATACTGTGCGGCAGTTCGTTCTGCTTTACTTTACGGTAGCGAAACGTTGAAGATACTCGTAAGCTACTAGTATTTGACCACAGATGCCTTAGAAATATCGCTGGCATCTGCTGGGATCACCAGGTAAGTAATAGTGAGGTTAGACGCAGGTTATTAGGGAATGATGGTAAATCAGTCGATTAGGTTGTGAATCGTCATCGACTGAAATGGTTGGGCCACGTGTTACGTATGCTCGAACACCGATTACCACGACGTGCTAACCGGTTTCGAGGATGGTTGGAAGATAGTCAGGAGCGGTCAAACCAAAACGTTGTATCAGTGCTTGAAGTCACTAACTTCTAGTCTGAGCCATGTTGGTAGATGCAGACTACTTGGTTGGGGTCCGCGTGACTATCGTAACCAATGGTTGGAGACTCTTGGTGACATGGCTCCGAACCGATCACAATGGCGTCGGTGTATACACTCACTATCTTCCCTTAAACTAAGAGATTAAAATTGCTTCATATCTTTCTTTGTACGAACTAATTCTTTCTCCCTGTGCTATATCCATATTGCAATCTTTCTTTTATATATAACCACCTCTGAATTAACTACTTCTATGAATTCGGTGCCAATTTTGTTGTGCTAATGATGTGTGGCAACTTGAACCAATGCATATATGTGCCTGGTCCTACGTTGTAGCTGACTGACCGGTCCTTCTTCGTTCCTAGTCCTGCCTGTTAAGTCCAGAACACCAATCTCAGACTCCGTGATATGAATCATGTATTTCAAACATACTGGGTTTTTATCCAAACCAAAGAGACTACATCGCACCACAAATAGGAAAATTTTTTTACAATATTAGCCAAAAGTGGTTGTGAATGTGGAATACTATAATTAATAGACTGGGCATAACTCAAAAACGGTAAATCGTATAATAATAGTCTATGGGTCAAAATAAAGCTTTTATTAAGAGGAACATGAATATGCTTACTTTAGCTACTTCATAATTATACAACAAAAATATATGTATCGTATCGGTCCACAAATAGTTCTCAAAATTTACCATTCATAATTCTCGTTGGGATATAACATTAGTAAAGTAGCCTAATTAGTCGTCATTTTGCAGAGTTTCTAATATATTTGTGTTATTTATTTACCTTCCAGAGGAACAAAATAAACCTGCTTTTTTGAACACTTCGTTAACAACTAATTTTGTGTTAAATTTTGGACGTTTAAACATGTCTACCAAAGAACCCTAATTAACAAGTCAACCATCTTTGGAACGTTTAAAAACATTGAGCATTTTTAGGAAATTTCAATTAATTTTACTCAGTAGAATAATCAGACACATTTACTGTAACCGATACACTACGATTTACCAATGAACCTAACCATCCGCATATCAACATGCAGAAGTCACTTTCTCTACTCTTTCAATGCTATGTATCATAATCAATTTATGCTTGAATTAAATGAACTGTCGGTTTTCTGTGGAACAAAACAAACTACTGATCATTTTCACTTTGAGCGCATTGATAATTAAAGATGATAAATATTAGCACTATAATAAACAGACTGAATAATGCAGGTTTTAATTCAGAGATAAGACTTCAATTTATTCTGAGTGACTTTGATGACGTTCAACTATAGCAATGAATATCAAATTGTATACGTCTTTAAGTGCAACAAAATAAACTTAATAAGTGAGGTATTGCAGTTCAGTAAAATGATTGTTTTGTTTCCATCCTTACTTCATGTGCAATTTAATCCTTTGTCTCTTTATTAATTGCTAAACTATTCCTTTATGTAACATTCTATCAATGACTAAGTGTTATTTATACAGGTAAAATCCTTGAAAATTACTCATGAAAGTAATTTCTCCGAAGAAGGTATTTAAAATTCTTTCAATCAATGTCTCTATGATACGTCCATGATATTTAAACTATACTTTTTTGTTGTTTTCTAAAGTTTATAGTTCATTATTTGTAGCATTAAGTGATTATTTCTTCATGGTTTTGTCCTACTAACAAACATAATTTTTACCATGATTTGTATTGATTCAACTTGATCACTAACTGGTCAATTTTCTAGTACTTTTTCCCCCTAATTATTCTTGTTTCATCATAAATTTACGGGAAAAGAAATAAAGATTGATTGTGTATTCAATTAGCACTCTCAGTTGCTGACAACCACTTATTCAACCCAACTTAAGACTCAAATCAAAGACTTGATGCACAAATGAATATGAATAGGCTATCAGTGCACACTTGATAATCAAAAATTATCCCAGAAATGTGTCTGCGTAGAATTCGATGAATTACTACAATTGATTCAGGTTGCAAAACAACCAATTAAAACAGAACGGATGTAAAGTCAAGGGATCCAGAATATAAGAAATGTAAGCAGGTTTAAAGTAAATGTTTAATTCAGTGATATAAATCTGTGAAATATTCATTAACAGTACTACTCTAATAAGGTACAAATTAGTAGTCCACTATCTCTAACTAGAAATGCGAAAAGACCGGGAAATGAGGCTACAATTATTCGATTATCACTATATTACTACAAAGTAAGCTAATCTTGATGTAGGACTTCTGGTTTCCATGGGACAGAAATCGGCTAAAATTCCCCTTAATGTTAATTAAAAAATATCAAGAGTTGGTTGGACGATATTATTGACAGAAAATGCTCAAAATAGATATTATTGAATTAAACTTCTATATTATATATTTTTTCTTCTATTCTGGATCCTTTTACTTAACATCCATTTCATTAGTTGTTTTAACTGGTTGCTTTGCAACCTGAATCAATTGTAGTAATTCATCAGGTTAATAGTTAGCACACACTGAAAAGTCGTAAGGAATTTCTATTAAATCCTTAGAAAACTATAAAATAACACTTCTAAAAACTGGAGTATGTACAGAAAACACTTTTAATTTTTATATGAGTTATACACCGGAAATAACGATAAGTGAATCAAGAGATTAGAGGCTAGATATAGATGAAAATGGAAGTTATAGGAATCATACGCTGTTCATTTACACCTACCTTCATCTACATTCAAATCGAACGATTTGTCGTTGTAAAACAAGATAGTTTTCTTATCGTGTGGTGTGACAATGCGAATCACATGGTCACCAAAACTCTGATCAAGTAAAAAAGCAGAGAAATATATGTCCAAAATACAAAAACTATTGAAAAAGAAATCATAGGATACAAAAGTTAGATGAAGAAATATTTAACTATGGATTGATTGAAAAATGAATGTGTTAAGTATATCTGAAACTGTATGGAATAATTCAGAACAGAGAATAGAAATAGAATAATTTAATCCCATATGCCTTATATTAGGTCGAACGGCTGGACTGACAAAGTATAGTCGCTTATTATGTGACATAACACTGTATTACTAACACATTTTCAAAACTAATCTATTGAGGATTCTAAGTACACCAAAAAATCTCAATGTGAGTATAGTCTTTTCTGATGAAGATGAACATTAGAAATACTGAAAGAGCAAACATGAATTTACCAAATAGTAAAGCTTGGTGGATTATCTAATAGTCCATCTCGTCAGTCTTTTTTAATTTCATCAAACGTTACCATCACCTTTTAATGGATCATATGGTGAAACAGCACTTTAGTCGCCTAGTTTTCAAAACTAAGGTTAGAGTTTCTCGGTTCAATCCAATTACTTAAGTTTAATTAACAAGATACTATTATTAGCCCTCAGGTACTAGATAGAGATCAGTTCATTACTAGCTCCAGATATAATTGGACTAAATTTGACAACCTCATATTAATATACCCAGTTGAAGGAGGCAGAGTTGTGACAATGGTTTTTAACAGTGGGCTAAATAAACTTGGGACATTCAGCATTATGAAATTTATGAGATGAAAGAAATATCTTTGACGTACAAAATAATTCATAACAATAAACGAGAACTTTAACATTAAGAGGAAGCAAGCTTTAAGATAGTCTTCTAAACTTACTTATTAACGTATAACTTTTCTTTACTAATACTCAACAAATAATTACTGACATCACCTAACTATAAATCAGTGACCACAATCATAATGATATTACAGGTAAAACTCTTGAAGAGCTCAGTGAAAAAGGAATTTTCATGAATGAGATGGAAATGTAGATGTGCAGACTGGGAACACAAAGTAGTGAGATTAACTTCATGATTAAATCACGCTACCAGTAACGAAGCAGCGGAATTCGAGCTTTAACGGTGCTGATATTTTAATCTGCGATAATGTATTTGTGAATCAAAATGGACATATCTACTCAGTTGTCTTTAGAATTCTAAATTTCCTGTCCATATAGGTGTCTGACGATCTACAGATAGTGAGTGTGAAAATAAATTCATCTGCAAAATCAATTTACACAAATTGAAAAGCAAATCCAAACCATCATATGTAATAAAACAGATTCAATTAATTTCACTTAGATTTTCGTTCTCTACCTGAGGTTTTTATTGGGGACAAATAGTTACCTGAAGGTAGGTAGAACAATGACCTAATAATTTCATGCCTTCAATTAAGAACAAATGTTACAACCAAAGAACATAAGAGAATACACAGGTGTGCTGAGCATCAGGAATATTGAATAAGTAGGTTAACTTCTTGTCAGAGCAACAGGTGGGATAGATTAAAAAATAAAAATTGAATTTTATGTGTAGGGCTGAGAGTTGACTTGAATCTTACCAACTTGTGTCTACATAAATACAGAAATAAATAGAACAGATACGAAATTTTCAGAAAGTATACAACAGAGTATGCAACGACAACCACATAATTTAGATGCATACCATCTACTGAAATACATGTTGGATCAAAAGTGATTTGCTTACATTAAGAATCTTTTCAACATCAGGAACAGATTCAGTCAAATCATCTAGATAAATTCCCCCCAAACCCTTCAACTCCTGACGACGGAGAAGTTGGTAAAGATCCTTACGCGTACGAATATCATATCTCGGTTTAAATACGAACTTTGCATCCGTAGTAACACGAATTTTGGGATTATTCGGTAGAGCCTAATATAAAGATATTGCAATTAGAGTTAAATTACTTCTTCCTCCAGCCATTTTACGGTAGCAGGTGGTGTGTCATGAAGTACAGCTTCTTCCAAAATTTCTTCTACAGATAATGGATGAGTATCGCCTTCTAAATGGCGTTGCTATGAGAAATTATAGCATACGGTACGTGGCAAACCTTCATGTATTTTACTATTCGAGATAAAACAGCAAACTTCCCTTGCAATTGAGGTTTTAATTCGAGAGGTCGCGATTCCGAAACAGTAGAAACTGAAGGAGGTCCACGGCGGTGTACAGAAGTCATAGCGCCTTTTTCCTCTGAAGTACCAGAAAAATTAGACTTTGGTTTCTCAACAACAGGAATTGTCATGGCTTTCTTTAAAAACGCTTCTCTCTCTTTTATAAGGCTTGGATTCATCTTCAGAGTCTATCACAGAGCTAAAACGAAAAAGGAATATCTTCTATAAGACTAATTTCATATCATAAAACACTAATGACAACTGCATTTAAACTCGTTGATTTGTCTTTTTATCGCCTCGTAATTTGGCATCAGATCCTGAATAGAATGTAGGACAACACTAAGATCCAAATAATAAACAAGATTTGCTTAATAGTGCATGCTTTGGTGTATTTATACATTGGAGTGCTATGGTGGCAATAGTTTTTATTTTTTTATTTAATACACACACATTGTGGTACAACTGGGGACCAAAGTGTGTGCCGAAATAACATTGAGAAAAAAAAGGAGGAAAAGTACAATCAAAAAATAATGATGTGGTTAGTAGTAGTATATAATAAAAGATACGATCCAGTTAAAAATACAAACAATAAACGCTTTTCTCGGTAAATAGAGCCCCTCTCGCTTTTATGATGAATTCAAAAGAAAACTAAAGTAGGACTTCTGCTGGTTTTTACCATGTCGTGTCTGGTAGCATCGCAAATTAACGAGTTACACGACTTCTCAGAATCCGACCGAAGCCGTAATGGGTTGCCAAATCAGTCATATACAACTTTCTCATTTCACATTATCATGTTATAGACTAATCCCATCTCCAATTTTTCAATCAGTCCCGGTGTCAGAAAAGAATGCGTATATGAACGACGCTGGAAAGAAATTCGTAAAGCATGTCCAAGCCACCTAAGCCAATGTTTTTAAATTCTGACACTAATTAAGTTAACATAACCCGAACACAAATTCTCGAACCTAGGAACTGTCGAAATTGTTTTGTTTTTGTCGGTAATCCTGTGGAGATGATCCTGAACGCAGATAGAGTTGCTGAACATTGGTTCGGACACCAAATTTCAAAAACATTGTGTAGGATCGCTCCCACTGACGCTGTAAAAACCCGACCCTTTAAAGCCAGGTTAAAATCACGAGGGCAACACAGATAAACCATACTGAGATATACCGTTCCGCCCTTTCTTCAATGTAAAGTTATTTTATCGATTTAGATAAATTAACTCATCTGCCAGGCACTTGAATGTGAGCATCACTCTCATTGTGAGGGGGTAATGATACTACACGATTTCCAAAACTGAAATAGGTGAGGGTCCAAACCGGGGACATCCCCACTACTACCGCTCACATAACTAAGATAGGTTACGTATCATCGCAAAATAAGACAATGTTATCCATGAGCTCAAGATCAGAAAAATTTTCCAGATAGCAGATCTATAACACCTAATTCCGTTAGAGGTTTCCAGAATATCATCGAAGGCAAAGTTGAAGAAAGGTGTTTATAATGAACAGCCTTCCCTAACCCCACTCCTGGACTAAAATCATGTACATTACAGGTATACATATAGAATATCTAAGATTATATTCTAATGGTTTGAAAAAAAATTGTATAAGAAAATTGGTCAGTTTATATCAAGAATTAGTGGGACAAAATAAATTTGAGTTTGCCTGGCATATTTACGCAAATTACTACACCCCAGCTAGAGTCTTAATGATAATAGGACCCAGTGACTTGCAGCATGATTATATCACCTACCAATAAAGAACCACTGAGTAAATCACTCAGTGAAGATTGAGAAAAAAAACTATTTACAACTAAATATATAAAGCTACTGCAATTTAGTGTCTTCCAGATCATCGAAGCCTATCGGTCTACTCCGAGTGACCGTGAGTTTGACCACAGACGAAGGCTGATACGTAATGAAATCGGGCAAAGCTTGTGTAAGGACCGAGAAGCCTGTTGATCAGAGCGTGCTAATTAGTTGGAAGCAACAGCTGCATCGGGTAACTGCCGGAAGCTCTTTCAACTCATCCGAATCACTGGAAGCAAAAATTCTGGTGTGAGGATGACGGGACGCCAGTCACTAACTTCCATTGACGTCTTGGACGATGGGCAGAGTTCTCAGTCAGTCAGTCAGTCAGTTACAACGTAGGACCAGGCACATATGTGCATCGGTCCAGGTTGCCATACCGCATCAGCACAACAAGATGAACACCGGATTCATAACAGTGGTTAGGTAAAAGGTGGTAATATATAAGAGAAAGATTGCATATAGAGATATAGTACAAGAAGAAGGAATTGGTTCGTAGAAAGAAAGATATAAAGCGCTTTTAATCTCTTAGTTTAAGGGAAGACAGGGAGTGTATACACCGACGCCATTGTGATCGATTCTGAGCCATGTCACCAAGAGTCTCCAACCATTGGTTACGATAGTCACGCGGACCCCAACCAAGTAGTCTGCATCTACCAACATGGCTCAGACTAGAAGTTAGTGACTTCAAGCACTGATGCCACGTTTTGGTTTGGCCGCCCCTAATTCTCTTCCAACCATCTCTAACACCCGTTAGCATTGCAAGACGTGGTAATCGGTGTTCAGGCATACGTAACACGTGGCCCAACCATCTCAGTCGATGAAGATTCATAACCTCATCAACTGATTTACCACCCTTTCCTAATACCCTGCGTCTAACCTCACTATTACTTACCTGATTATCCCAGCAGACGCCAGCAATATTTCTAAGGCATCTGTGGTCAAATACTAGTAGCTTACGAGTGTCTTCTACCCTTAAAGGCCATGTTTCGCTGCCGTAAATTAAAACAGAACGAACTGCCGCGCAGTATACTCGTCCTTTTATTGATAGACGGATATCTGGCCTTCGCCACAGGTGACGTAAGTTGGCAAAAGCCAAACGAGCTTTTCGAATCCGTGCTGAGATTTCGTCCGATACCAACCCATTAGGGCTGATCAGACTTCCAAGATAAGTGAAGTTGTCAACGCGTTCGACTACTTCACTCCCTATCCTTAGTTCAGGTGTTAACGCAGACCAGTCCTGAAGCATCAACTTGCATTTAGAGGGAGAGAAGCGCATTCCAAACATCCTGGCATTGTTGCTCAGTGCTACCAGAAGACTCTGCATTTTGTCAGCGTCTTCACCAAACAGGACTATGTCATCTGCGTATTCTAAGTCGATAAGTGGACCTCCTGGATGGAGATCAATACCCGAGAACTCAGTCGACGAGAAAGTTATTTCCATTAGTAGGTCTATGATGAAGTTAAACAAAAATGGGGAAAGTGGACATCCTTGACGGACACCACTTGAGGTTGCAAAAGTAGATGACAGTTCGCCATAAGCTCTCACTCGACTAGTAGTGTTCGAGTAAAGAGCCTTCACAAGGTTTATGTACTTCTGGGGTACGCCTTTCAATGACAGACACTGCCACAGAACCTCGCGGTCTACCGAGTCAAATGCTGCTTTTAAGTCAAGAAAGACCACCATCGTCGGACGCCGATAAGTATGCCTATGTTCTAGAACCTGACGAATGGTGAATATGTGGTCGATGCAGCCACGACCAGGTCTGAAGCCAGTTTGGTTTTCTCGTGTTTGCAGTTCACGAGTCTTAGTTAGGCGTCTGATAATTATCGAGGCTAGTATTTTAGATATTATATTAGTTAAACTAATCCCTCTGTGGTTGTCACAGGATGATTTTGATCCTTTCTTATATATTGGGACGATAAGTGATTGTGACCAGTCAGATGGAATAACGTCTAACTCCCAGATCTTAGCTAAAATACCTAACCGCTAAAATTGGACCACCATCCTTAAAGACCTCTGCAGCCAATCTATCTGGACCAGCTGCCCTTCCTCGTTTCAGATTATCTATAGCCTTTTGAACTTCAGCAAGAGTTGGGGGACCTACTTCAATGTTCCATTCACGCTGTCTGGGAATGGAGGGTAGTTGTAGAGTAGCTGAAGGCCAGCTGAACTGTTCCCTAAAGTGTTCCGCCCATCGTTCTAAACGTCTGGACTGGGAGCAGATGAGAGTATCGTCTTTTTCCGATATAATCTCACTTACACTTGACTTATTAATTCCAGTTTCTTTTATTAGTCTGTAGAGCTGTCTTGTGTTCCCTATAGTCTCCGCCTTTTTCATCTCTTTTGCTTTCGTTGCCCACCACTGCTCACGGTCGTTTCTTAGACTTTTTCTTAACCTAGATCTGATTTGTTGTCGCTTTTCATCATGTTCGGAACCTGATGGGACGAGTTTGCGAGAATCCATCAGTGTGATAGACTTTGAAGAAATCCACTGGTCCTTTGAAACTCTGTGGTTTAAGTCACTAATAGATTTCATTGCTGTTTCCAGAGCTATTTGTATATCTTTCCAAGCAACATCTGGGTCAGCCTCGTCTTCAGAACTACCTAAGTGTGAACTCAGTTGTTCTTGGAACCTATTTTTGGTTTTCTCGTTACTCAATTCAGTTCTAATGGGTCTTTTCAATGTGGCTTTTTTGCGTCCGGTGAGGCGCAAGCAGATGCGTGCCCGTATTAGGGCGTGGTCGGAGTCCAAGCAGGTACTCCAGAATGAACGACAATCTTCTACCGACCCTCTCCAACGATGACTGATGGCAATATGGTCTATTTGAGTCCATCGTTGGTTTGGTGTAGGGGGTCGCCATGTTAGACGATGTCTCTCCTTATGCTTAAAATTTGTGTTTGCTAAAAATAAGCGATTGTCTGAGCACAGTTGCAGCAGACGATCACCATTATCTGTTCGCTGTGCCGGAATGCTAAAATATCCACCTAAATGCCTTTCTGTGTGGTTTAAGCTACCTATCTGAGCATTAAAGTCACCCCCTACGAGTACTATGTCTGAGCGTTTAGCTCTCTGAAGAAGTTCAGATAACTTTCTGTAAAACTCATCTTTCACATCATCTGAGCTGCAGTCAGTGGGAGCGTAGGCAGAAACGACAAAAAGGCAACGACGTGTGTCCCTATCCTTCCGAGTTCTTACGGAGCCGTTTAGCCGAACAGCACATAGACGACTGTTGATGGGGATCCACTCTAGTAATGCTTGTTCCGCCCTCATGCTTAGTGCTATGCCTACTCCTGCCAGTCCACGAGAACTGGCCATCGGGTCACCAGATACACGTAGGGTGTATCTCGTTGGCTCTCCGTTTTGCCGAGGTGAGGTCAAGTGAAT